CTATTTTACAAAAATTGTAGAAGAAGAACTCATTTTAGAAGATCCAAATAAACCATTAAAGGCAATTAGAAAACCAATTACAATGGAAGAATTAAAAAAAAGACAACAACTAGAACCATTAAGTTATTGTCAAACAATTAAATTAATTAATAATTGTAGAGAATTATTTCAATGGATTAAAAAATCAGATAGATATATTGTTCGAGTTGAATATGAAGATTTATTAAATTACGTAGTAACCAAAACACAAAAAACATTATCAGTCACATCAAAATTTCGTAATTCAGTAAAAAATTCTATGAAAAGATATTTCAAAACAATAAAAATAAAAGAAAAAATGTATTGGTTATTAGGTCATTCATTTACAAAATATGGAGAAATATATTATTGTAAAGAAAATGATGAATAAATAATAAGATAAAATCAATAAAGAAATAATAATAATATATCCAATTTCTTCTTATATAATATTTTTGGTTTATTTTTTATTTATTTTTTTCTTTCTTTTTCTTTTTACATTCAAAAAGCCAGAAAAAGAACTCAATATGTTTAATTGAATTATTAAATTAATGAATATATTAGAGGATGAAAATGGGGAAATGACTTGGATTAAATGGTTTTGTTCATTGGAGTTTGAATAAGTTTTAATTATTTTTATTCATTAAAAAATAAAATAGAAAAAAAAAGTAATTTACTTTTAGAGAAAATAAATTTATGTGTGAAGTAGATGAGTCATTTATCGATAATGATTTTAATTTATATGGATTAGAAAATAGTGTTCCACATTTTCAACTTGCAATTGAAACAATTTTACAATTAGAATATTCACAAGAAATAACACCAGATATCCAACAAGAAATTGATGAAGAATCAAAAAAATTATATGGTTTAATTCATGCTCGATATATTGTCACTTCAGCTGGACAACAAAAAATGTTAAAAAAATATGAGCATTCTGTTTTTGGATGTTGTCCCTGTATGAAATGTAATGTTTGTTTATTTTATCTTTCATTAAAATAAAAATAAGTTAAAATAATGTTAATTAATTATTTAGAGATATCCTCTTCTTCCTTTAGGACTATATGATAATCCAGGCATGGAACCTGTAAGACTGTATTGTCCTTGTTGTAATGATATTTATATAGTCCCACAACAATTCGCTTCAAGAAAATTAGACGGTGCATTTTTTGGAACAACTTTTGCTCATCTTTTATTATTACAACTTGATGAACATCCTAAAAATGCATTTCATTATATCCCTCGCGTGTATGGTTTTAAATTAGCTTCTAGTGACTATGAACGACCTACTGATTACCCACATTTTACGGGTTTAAGACAATTTTGTCATTTGTGACTTTATTCATTAAACACTTATCTCATATTTATGTTTTATATAACGGAAATAAAAAGAAAAAAAATCAAAAAAAAATTTTAAAATAATAAAAGACTTAAAAAATTGAATAATTTTTGAAGAATCTTAAAAAGAGAACTTTAAAAAGAAGTAATGGTTAGTAAACTTGAACTATCAACAACTATAGCAGCAGCTGTTTATGTTCTTATAGGATTTTTTTTAATCGTTGCATCAATTGTATTTACAAAAGATATTAATGCATTTGCTAGATCAGCTGAAGGAAAAGATGGTGATTTAACTTTGTATTTTACAAAAGCATCGTGTGTATATCTTATTGTTGCTGGTGCAATTTGTATGTTAAGTGGTTCATTAGGAATGGTTGGTGCTCTTTTAGAAAAACAATGGAGTATGATGCTTTATTTTATGACACTAATAGTATCACTAATAACATGGTTTGTATTAGAAGGTGTTTTTGGAATGATTACATTTGGTCTAACTGCTGCTTCAGAAGCAACAATGTCATCAACTATTGCAACATGGGAATTAAGGTTCCATTGTTGTGGATGGAAAACTCTCCCAGCTGATGCATCAAAATGTGCTTATCCTGCAGCATTTTCACAAGGACATACTTGTATTCAAGAATTTAATTCTATTTGGAATTTGTCTATTGCTGGATTTGCTGTTGTAGCTGCATTTTCTATTTTTGCTATTGTTCAAATGGTTCTTGCTTGTACTCTTTATCGTTATTTAGATAACCTTTTCAGATATTCATATTTGAATAATCAACATGGAGATAACAAAGACGAATAATAATTACTCAGTGTTCTTCTTTCTTTCCCTTCTTCTTTTTTAATCATTGAATCTTCTGTTTTGAAAAGACATAAACATTTAATTCAATTATTGAAAAAAAAATTAAATTCTATGTCTCAACAAAATACTAATTCTTGTTGGTTAATACATCTCAAACAAAACTCTGATTTAGAAGAAGTTAAGAAACAAATCCCTCAATTTATTTTATTTACTACACCAAAAAATTGTCGTGAAGTATCTCAAGATGAATTTTCATTTTGTGGAAAAGATATTCCTATTTATCATATGTATACGTTTGAAGATCAATTTATTATTCCTAATTTGAATATTGCTCAAGAATATATGACAATTATGTATTTTAAAAATGGTAAATGTCTTATTCAAGGAGAAAGTTTTGTAGAATTTAATAATAAAATGAAAAAAGCAATAAAAACCAATGATTTTAGTGAAGGAATCAATAAGACTCAATGGTTAAAAACAGATACTGAAAATTATATGAAAAAATTACATCATACAGTAAATAGAATCAAGTTAAGTAATGAAGAAATAATAGATGATAGAATTATAGATTGGATGGATGGGTTATAAACAATAATTCAATCATGTTTTTATTTTAGTTAGAAATGAAATAATGAATCATATAATAATGAAAATTGTGTTTGAGGAATTGTTTCTACATCTTCTTTTCTTGTTTCTTCTTCATTTAATAACCATTTTATTCGTTCTTTTTCAAGTTCTCCTTTAAATTTTATACTATTTAATACTACACTTCCAATTCCTCTAAGTAACTCCCAACCGTATCCCCATTCTGTAATTTCATTTAATAATTTCATAAAAACAAGTTTAGTTGTATTTGAATGTCCATTTATTAATTCACCAATAATTCCTATAAACATTCGTTTTCCTTTAATAATTTTTCTTTGATTAAAATATTTGATAATTGAAAGAAGTTCATTGATTTCTTTTGATTGAACTAATTGAAGAAGAGCTGATAATAATGCTTCTTCAACGATTTCATCACGTGAATGACAATATATTATTAATTCATCTAAATATTCAGGCATTTCCCTACATATTATAATAATTGTTCTACTTAATACAATTGGATCAAGTAAGATGTCATTTTTCATCATATCAATTACTCCATTAATAATAATAATTTTAATTCTTTTTGATAATCTAAGTTTATTAAGTTCTTCACTGAGTAAACGAGGGATTATTGAATCAACATAAAGATCAAAATGAAATTGAAAAATTTCAGTAATTTCATTTGAAGCAACTGATTGATATTGAAATGAACCATGTTGTATTGTATTACAATCTTCTAATTTTGATTCAACTTTTTCTATCCCATTTTCATTAATACATCTAATAAGTGTTTCTAATAAACTAGAATGAATCATTTGATTAGTATCATTCCAAAATTGTTCAATAATCATTGGAAGTAATTCAATTAAATCATCCATAAAATGATTTAACATAATAAATAATGCAATAACAACAGTATTCCTAGATGCTAATAAAGGAATAATGTATTGTTCTTCTAAAGTTGTTTTATATGGTTCAATAAATTGATTAGATGAAAGAAGTGTGTTTATAATTATTACACATTTTTCAGTTTCATTCATTAATGGGAATTGTAAATAACTTGGATGAATAAAATATTGGATTGAATAATCAAAACTCCATCCAAGTGTTTCACTCATTTGATAATTGAAATC